AATTTCCTTCAAATAATAATTCCATTAAGTACTTTACTCTGAATATTTGACATGTTACGTATAGTATCTAGGTTAATGGAGCCTGACTTACATCTAAACTGCACATAAATTTATTCTGCAAGCACAACCATTTACATCAGCAATATAAATCTGTGACTGAATATAATATGTTAGATTTAGTTCAAATTTTTATATGAAAATGTGATCTGGCTCTTTTGGGAAGGACTTCAATTTTGCAGCATAAATGATGTGTTGTTGCATTATGGAGCCTGTTTTGTTGAGATCCCATGGTATCTAGCCAGATATATGAAGAAATTGCATGACAAAACATAACATAAATGACATTCTTTCCAAGCAAAGGAACATGCAGGAACACAGAGCCTGAAACTGCATTACACATGTGTGTACCTTCGGTGAGTGAAAGATCTCAGGAGTTTTCCGCTAGTAAACCATCCCAAGAATTGACGCAGCGAGACACCAAGATGAGATGTGAGGAAGGGAAGAGAAGAATGGATAGAAGGCATGAGACAAGAATGCAACATTAGTACATTACATCACACATACACACAGGCATATGAGTTAAGATGCAAACAATGCTTCCAACACCTGCATATCAGAGGGGTGATGTTAGAATACACTATAGGCCCTTCATTTCCATGCATGACTTCACTGTTACATATTAAAATTGCTTTGCAGTGTCAATTCCATATTGCATCATATAAACCAGAGCTATGGGTCTGAAGCAGCCACTCCCCATTACTGCCATAAACAAGGCTGTTCTTATAATATTTTTATTTCTTCTAGAAGTCTTATACAAAATGGTTTGAAATAAAAAATGATCATTACCTTAAGGAATGTCTATCATGAACTCAATCAGGAAAAGAAGCAAACCTGATTCTACCTCCTCTGACTCATTTCTTTAAAGGTCTACAGTAAATTTAAGTATCCTTTAATCTATAATTCTATGTAAAACCTAACACATAAATATAAATATTCTGCCTGTAATTATAAAGACTTCTAATTCATTGTCCACTTAAGTTAATCATTCTGATATACTGTAAAATTCAAAATTTCTAGATGATACGATGACTGCGTTTTAGCCTGAAATCTCAGCTCACATTTCTGATATGTCTTTAGCATCTTCCAATACAATTTCAATATATACAGAGCTATCATTGAACACAACCACAAAGAAAATGGAGGGCCTACTATGTATGTAACAAAAATAATAATACTGTTATCACATTTTGAACTTGCATGTGAATAGTAAGAAATTCAAATGCATGCATTATAAATTACATTTGAAATGAAATTTATGTCTAGAAATATTAATTAGAATGTATTTCTTATAATAATACCTTGTAATCACTATCGTCCTCTATATCTTCAGGCTAAGGAATGTAAAGTTCAACATATCAGAAATAACAACATAATTAAACAAACACACTAATAAAAAACACAATAAAAACTCTATGAAACTAACAGTAAACTTAATAAACTGACAGTTATGCATGATTAATACAGAGACAGACTACCAGATCTAAGAGTAGAAATTAATTTACATTCAACAGTCTCAAAATCCACAACTATGCAAAACAAATGTGCATTTTAATTTACCCTTGAAGAAATGCATATTTTTTTTTTAATATTCATGTCAAACGGAAGTTAAACACATTACTAAGTATGATACTAAGCTTCTAATTTAAAAAACAAAACACATAGTGTCCACTAAATCACATGAACCATTACTATTCTATTCATTTTAATAACACAAAAATTAAGCCAGATTTTTCACAGCTATGGTGTTAACTTACCTGAATAACTCCAGCCATAGCTGCTAGTTCTGGAGTGCTGGGGGATTTGTCTCCAGACTGGGCAAAAGCATAAAAGAAAGACATGCATAAGCTCTACTTCAATGAACGCAAAACACAGTTTATGTTAATAACAGTAACAGAATTTATACAGGTGCACTGCTTTATTCTTAACATGTGCAAGCAAATTTAAATTTTCAACCATTTTCAGTAATCCTGTTAGATATAAAAGAACTTGATTTAAAAGTTAGCACACGTGTTATCAGCTCTTATTTTGCTTCTTTACTTGCATACATAAATGCACACAACTTATTCCCACCCCTGTCTCCCTATAACACACACGAATGCATCAAATGAAGTGGTAAAAACAAGCACTATATTTAAAATAAAATATGCCTTCTTCAGTTTAACATAGTCATTTCATGTTCATACAGCCATTCTTTCCCTCCAGATGTTAACAGCATAAGGAGACACCTATCTGACAGCATAACCATTACCTATATTTCAGGTGAAGTTCAGAAAACATATTTGTTTTTAGATGCCCCACAAAGCAATTAAACAATTAAGTTTTGTAGTCCTAAATTAAGTGTTCTACCACCACCACTGTTCAGTGTCATGGAGGTAGTTCAATTAAAGGAACATGACATAAGAAAATAGACTTTTGCTAATGATATAATTCAAAGAGAGAATGAGAGGTAGGGTGAAGAGAAAATGAATTATTGGAATTTAATAATAAAGGACTAGGGGTTAAAAATTAATATTGAAAAGACTGTTGCCAAGCATGTGAATACTAATACCAGAATTAAGGTACATTATAGTAAAAGAAGTGATTCAATTTATCTACTTTTGAAGTTAAGAAAAACTAATGGAGTAATAGAAGACTTCCAAGTAGCTCCAACTTTTATATAATATCATCATAAAAGGATTAATTTAAAATAGGAAAAGTTCCACAGAAGTGCAAAGAACAATCTATATAAATAAAAATGTAAATGTTCGTTTGTTACCCCTCGAAAATCTCCGAAAGTTCTTCACCGATTGCTTCGAAATTTTGACACAACGTTGCATTCGAATGCGCACATTTTTATATACCTACTAGCTGTACCCGGCCACGCGTGAACCCGGAAAGTATACTTCCATGGAAACGCAATAACAGTTGCATAGGAATTGCCGAAACAACAAACGCGTTTCCCCGGAGATTAGTTCCGTTTTGTAACAACAGATGAAACCAGAAAGTATGCTTCCAAGGAAACGCAATAACAGTGGGCCGTTGCATAGGAATTGCCGAAAAAACAAACGCGTTTCCCCAAGGGTTGAGAGGATAAGAGGTTCCGTTGCGTAACAACAGATGAAACCAAACACTTCTACAAGGTGTTCTGTGCTAGCATTTCGATAAGGTATTCCCTATCCCGTCCGAATGCTGGCTATATGTATAAGAGAGTGTAGCTCTGGTGACTGTTCAGTATCACGAGTGTCTCGAGGATCACGAGGTCACAAGTATCACAAGAGATTCCGAGTGAAATCACAGCAGATCCTGAGTTTGCACTCAGAGTTTTGGATTCGACTCTGGCAGCGTTTCCCCGGTGAGAGACAACAGAAGGCTCATTGTATAGCATCCGCCGAGGTATAAATAGTCCAGCTTGGACAAGAAGCAGTCAGTCTCGGGGCAGACGCTGAGGGATACAGAAGAGTCTGGAAGTAACCGCCGAAGGAGTCAGTCTTGGGATAGCTACTGCCCAATATAAACAGTTTCGATTTATTTTCATTTTGATTTAATTATTTCATGTGACATTGCGTTGGAATTGGGCTGTGTCATTTACCATAGCGTTCATTTCGTGAGTATAGTTTATTTTTCATTGTTTTTCATTTCGTTTTCTTAACTGTTCTCCTTATTTTTCAGTGCAATTGGCGGTGGGACTGAGCTGTGTCGATTGATCTGCGTTTGAATTGAAATATTTTGTTAGAATGAGCCACACCAACACGTGGCTGGGTACAGCTAGTACATATAATATCCTTTTAAGCAGCACTGACATATAGCACACAAATACAGTCCCCAATAAAAAAGAAATGGAGGTAAACTACAAGGAATGAGTAATAAATATCTGAGGTGCATTAAAGGATGGAACAATAAGAAATGGTACTATCAGAAGTGAGACCAGAGATGAAAATTTGTTAATTGACCTGAAAATTAAATTATTAAAGTAGCATGAACATGGGGAGAAAAATACATGGGAGAAATGGCAGACCAATGAGGAGACATGTGCAGAATTTCTGAACACATACTACCATTCCACAACAGTTGAAACTTTTCCTCAAAAGAAGATGGTCAAATTGAATAACTGGCACCCCACAATTAATATGCCAAGAAAACTGTTGGTGTTTCAGATTGTGTGACAATGCTTCCTCAGCTGCACAGATTACACAATGTTGATTTGAAAGGTTACTGTAAATAATCAAATGGGAACTACATGGAAAGAAGCAGCCATGACATATTTAAGGAAGTATTCCAACACTTATCTAAAAGGCTGAGGAAGATCATGAAAACCCTCAGTCAGAATAGCCAGCCCCTTAAACAAACTCTGAAAGCAAGATCTTCCAAATGTGAGGGAGTGTAGCTACAACATTTAGTGAGAGGATGAAGAAACCTTCCAGACAAAACAATTATTCCATTAGAGACAGAATGCCTGGTCAGGCTTTACCTGGGTCACTTGCTGGACGGGAGGAGCTACTGCTAAAACTGGGGCTGCTGTTTCTGCTTCAACTGGATGCTCAGCAATGGGTGCAATGTTATTAGATGCTACTGTTACTGCAGGCTATAAGCATAACCAACCAAACACACAGCATATTTTCACACATAAACTGTACTGTTAGTGTAACATTTACAGTTCCTCACATAAGTTACATTACTAACAACAGTTATACATACATTTATTCAGCGAAACAATGCATGTGTTTCCATGTGCTAACAGGGTCAGTGCTGTATCACACACTTCAAATTATCCATGCTAATGAAGTCAAAATGGCATATATACAATCAAAACATTCATACATAGAGTATCAAGAAAATATCCAACTTGTCTGTATTAATCTAGAAATTTCATTTAACAACCAAAACATACTGAATTTTCAATTTTAACTGGAACCTTAAAAATACATGTGTAACAGCTAACATTTTACTTACCCCAGTCTCAGCCTTTTGGACATAATTGGACGGGAAGATGCCCTGCCTTTCACCTATAGTACCGGTCCACCAATCTCCTTCTTTCTTCACAACAAGCACCACCTCACCTTGTTGAAAGCTGAGGTCACCCGCTTCTGTAGACTGGTACGGATACAATGCAACATAATACTCTGCACACAGAGAAATTATTCATTCATTAACTGCACAGATGCTAAGAAGTAAATGGATAAAGTAACTCTATCAACATTTGATTTACTGTTATTTTTCATTCAAAAATTGGGGGCTGCCTCACATTCATGAATCACAAAATTTCATAATAACTAATACAACTCAACAATTCCTAGAAAAAAAAAAATATATATATATAGCAAATGCAAAATATAGCTATCTGTAGAATATATTGTCATGTGTATGAGTGATTATAGACAAGGTCTGGATTGGTAAGCTGATTTACTGAACACTTACAGATCGTAACTACAAGTAACTAATGTGCTATCACAAATTCATATGCTCTAAAATTCACTATAGCAAGCCCTAAGTCTTTTCAGCCTGCTGTGTCTTCACCAGTCTTTGCCTGGTAACAGCTTCCAATGGTGGATGTTCCCCTTTCTCTGGGTTTCCAAACTATCCCCATGCCTCAGCTGTCAGCTTCAAACAGGAACAGTTCACTATGACTGAACTGCAGCAGTCCTCTAATTCACTCACTCACCAACCAACTCGCTCCACTGTAATGCACTGCAGTGCACTAATACACTCACTGAACTGAACTCAGTCGGCTGAGTCAAATTACCTCAGAGTGGACCCACAGAGAACACCACTTGCATTCTCTCTTCTATTTTTGTGTGATATCACAGCAGAGGTGACGTGTTCCTCTGTTGCATGTATATGGATCACTACCTAGCAACGGGTCTACATGCTACAATATTGTGACAGGAGTGAGCAACTTGACAATAGACATCATATGTTGCTATGCAGTAGCTAACAAGCTATTATGTCATCAAATATGCGATCATTGCTACACAATGAATAAACATGCAACAGTAGAAGAACTGTTGGAGATGGTGTCTTCTGTGTAGTCTGTCCTGAGGCTATATAATGAGGATAGTTGCAGCAAGCCGTCAGCTGCAGGACAGTTGTCAGCCAGTATGAACATGAACATCGAAGATGAGGCACCTACACTGATGGAAGCCATAACCTAGCAACAGCTAGTGAAGACAAAGTGAGAAGACTTGGTCTGTGCTGTAGTGAGAAGTCAGGTGCATGAATTAGCAAGAGCAAAAGAGCGCTGTGATTACTTGTAGCTACAATTTACAAGTGTTCAACAAATCCAATTACCAACCCAAACTCCAAGTCTAGTCAACAACTGTGACAATATCAATCTGAGAATTTTTCAAAGGTGGTAACTGTTAGAATTTCATTATTATTACTACTACACTACCATGCAATTTATCCAGTAGCTGTGACTCTCTCTGCTTTTGACATATGCTTTGTAATATCATATGATCCATCAAATGTGAATTCATATGTTCAGTGTCTTTAGTACCATTAAAGTGAAGAGAAAAGAAGCCTGAATTCAAAATATTCTTTGGAAAAATTCTCACATCAACATTCTATGAATACAAGAGTTTCAAATTATGCCATGACTGCCAGATGTCACTGAGCTCACTGCTGAAACGGTACTGATGAGAATATGAAACACATATACATGTAACTGATGTTATTCACTTGAAGAATTCTACTTCTGAAGTATTTATAGCAACTGTACCTATTAAAGAAAACATAATAACTCACGATATGGAAGCAAAGACAGACTTCTTATATTCAGATTCTATTCATGACAAACCATGTAAGATGCCAGTTTTAAATTAGTGGCTATCAGGCATGCCAAACAGCCAAATGACTGTCTAGCATACAGAACATACAGTACATATAAGGGTCAATATGTAGCAACAGAAGACAAAAATCAATTACTCAGTGAAATTCAACAATGAAAAAATTATGGCACTGACAAGGACATGGAAAATTTCCTAGAAGTAACCGAAGAAAATCATGATACACTTCATAATGCAAAGCAGGAGTACAATACAAGACACTTATTCCCTTCATGGGCTATGCCTAAAAAAGTTAACCACCTCAGATGTTCTTCATGTAGAGTATATAAAACATGCACAGAGCAGAATAATGACATGAACCAAAATATGTTAATTAAATGTTCTTCCTTGCGGTAACATACATTTGAGAAACTAATCAAAGCAATATTTCAACCTTGATTAGTGTATGGCAACAATCCCTCTAACAATCTTACCATGTTCTTCACCAACACCTGAACCCATTTCAATTACAGTGACATAGGATTTAGGGAACCAGCCTTGAAATTCAGCCAGCTCTCCATACCACCAAGATTCTTGCTGCTCTTTCACTGTAATTATGCTGCCTTTGTTGAATGAAAGGTGATTACTCTTTTTCGCTCTCCAAGCATACAATGCTCGTGCTTGTACATTTTCCACTGGAGTACCCTGTATTAGGCATACAATTACTTGTCAGTAAATATATAAAATAAAGTCCCCATTTAATTAATCTCTTGGAAGGACTGGGCTTTTTTACATTTAATCTGGACGACATCTTCCTCTAATTAATCCAGATTAGCAAGGCTTTAACTGCATCTCAAAATTCTCGAAGTTCAAGACTGAACAACCAATGCTCAAATTAAGATCAAGATTTCCCAAAAATATGACCCTCACATATGCATATTAAATACAGAATTTCAATAAATACAGGAACATTAGAGCAGGATTTTACCGTAACAAGCATCTGTGTTGAAACTTAAATGCCCAGATACTGCAATAACATAAAACTGAAGTTCAAAGAGACAAGAGGGGGAAAAAATTCATTAATTTTTCTTATTTTACAGATTAAAAAGTAAGATTCATTACAAGCCTGCAATGGTCTGGATATTTATCTCAGTTGGGAAACATGGAATACGAACAACACTTTGGTAGGAAAATAGCTTTATGCAAAACCAAGACAAAAATGTCAGGATAACATTAAAATGGTTCTAAGATAAATAGGATGTAATACTGACGAATGGACTTATATGTCTCTAGCAGAGTTCAAGAGCAGCCTCTGCTCTGGTGGTATAAATATTTTAGGCTGTATTAGCAAAACTGTTTATTATATTCTGAAGTATATGTAAAGACAACACACACAACTTGTGGAGGATCTTTGGAGAAGAAACTGTGTTCATGTAAAAAGTTATTACAATATACTATTAAAGCTACATTCACTGCTGGAAATTGCTAAAATTATTGGAATTTCTATTGAGTGCTTACCTGTCCCAACACAGGACTTGGGAGCTCATTTACCTCAGGGCCTTGTTCACCTATAATCTCAGCTACTGAACCATTATCACTGACATTCTCTGGCACTTCTGCTATACCTCTGGAAAGAGAAAAAAGATTTTCTTAACCATTTTTAAAGTAACTGAAATATATTACTAAAATAATTAAATCAAACAATATGAAGAGTGCACAACATGTAGCATGCATGGGAAAGATCTGAAATGTATACAGAATTTTAGTCAGAAAACATGAGAGATTAGTATAGGGATGTAGACATACATGGAAGGATGAAATGTATCTTAAGGAAATAAGATATGAAGTTGTTCAGGACATGGATCAACAGACTGATCTTGTGACCACATTACTGAACCTTCAGGTTCTAAAATTACATATTTCTGGACCAGCTATGCAAGTATTAGCTTAAGAAGAACTCTGCTCCAAGTACTTAATTAGTTAGTTAGTTGTCAATTACGTCAAAAGGAGCTTAAATAAAAAAAGTGTTAAATATCTAAAGTGATACTAAGATTTATAAAATGAAAAATAACCTAAAATGAAACTAGCACTTATATTTGTAAACAGTTTCATTATACAATGTAATTTCAAACAATAAAAAATGTTAGTTTTAAATTAAATAATGTCTCTCTTGCAACATAATTCTGTGAAGTCTTTTTAGTGCAATATGGTATTCCCTTTGATCATCTGAATGAGTATAAATACCACCATTCTCCTTATATTTTGCAATACACCTACACTACAATCTGAGCAAGATAGAAATTTTGTGAACAGGCCACTGTCCTAAGGAACTATTTCTTCTTCTAGAGACCAGCCTAAAAACTCATTCTCTACTACATCTGTAGGAATTCATTCAGATGGCACTTGGTTTGCCGTTTTTCACCCATGGCCATGTGGAACACAAAGTTCTGATCATACAACTTCTTACAAAGAAGCCATCTGGAAAAACCAGGAGACAAAAGGATAATATTAAGAATAATCTTGGGGAAGTTGCAAGGAAGGGATCTGGTTGCAACTGCCTAAGCATCATACCTAAGGACAGACTTTAATAACAGCAATGTTTAACTTATGGTAACATCAGGTGAAATGCTAATGATAAGTCAACCTGACCTTTAGACATTACAATTACAGCAAAAGAATTGTTATTAGGTTTCACCTGTGATTTTAGAAATTAACCAAAGAGTTGTACTTCACTATATCGACTGAGACTTACTCAAGCTGACGTTTGGTTTGCAGTGTATCTACCATGATATCAGGTGGGAATGCTAAAGCTGCATCGACCTGTCCTCCTTCAGATATTATAGTGACAGCAGAAGGGCTGTCGATGGGTTCCACATATGATTCTGGAAACCAGCCTGTGTGACCTCTGATCTCTCCAGCCAACCAACCTGGTTCTGAATTCTGGTTAATTGGTACCTGCATGGCAGTTAAACAGAGATATTAAATTTTGTTTCACTTGTTTCATTATAATGAAACCTATGACATTTATAAAGCTCAAAATGTCCGGGTCCAAATATTTTCAATACAGTCAATGTCTCACTGAAGTAAATGAGTTCAACCAGTTTCAGGGAGACATCATATACTACAATTGTTTTAATTCCTTGGCATGGGGTGAGACTGAATCCACTTGATACACTTATTGTACTAGCTCCAGATGACAGATGAGTATGAAGCAGTTGGTGGAATGAGAATTGGCAGGGGAAACCGAAGTAATCAAAGAAAACCTCCCCCAGTGCCACTTTGTCCACCACAAACCCCCACATGACCCGACCTGGGATCCAACCCTTCTATTGCAGTAGGAAGTCGCAGGTTAACCGCCTGAGCTATGGCACGCCCCCATCCTGTATAAGATTTATATCAGCAACACTGAACGTTGGGCTGCGCCATAGCTCAAGAGGTTAGTTACTGGCTTCCCACTGTGGCGGCCCAGGTTTGATCCTGGATCTGGTCAAGTGGGATTTATGGTGGACAAAGTGGCGCTGGGGTGGGTTTTCTTCAAGTACTTTGGTTTCACTTGCCAATCTTCATTCCACCAAATTCTCCATCATCATAATCACCTGGGGCAGGTACAACAGGCCAGTCAATTAAATTAAATTAAATTCAATTAAATTTATTTCAAGTTCAAAAATAGATCCAGATACAGGCAGGGAAACAACCATTGGATATAGAATGAGTCACAGACCAAAAAACAAACATTCCATTCAGTGGCTGTCGTGCCTAGTGGACCCAGTTGGACTCTACACCTCATTAAGTGGCGCTGGGGTGGGTTTTCTCCAAGTACTTTGGTTTCACTTGCCAATCTTCATTCCACCAAATTCTCCATCATCATAATCACCTGGGGCAGGTACAACAGGCCAGTCAATTAAATTAAATTAAATTCAATTCAATTCAATTTATTTCAAGTTCAAAAATAGATCCAGATACAGGCAGGGAAACAACCATTGGATATAGAATGAGTCACAGACCAAAAAACAAACATTCCATTCAGTGGCTGTCGTGCCTAGTGGACCCAGTTGGACTCTACACCCCATTAAGTGAATTAAGAAAAAAAAACTGAAGGTTTAATGATATGAAGACATACTTTTTTCATACTAAACAAGCTACATTTGCAATAAATGAATATCAAGATCAATTAATAAAACAAAACTGGCAAGGTACATTTGAAAAATGTATGTATTCCACACTGGAGTACACTTACCATTCTTGTTTGTTTATGATGTCCTGTAAGCAGAGATTACACAGCTAACAATACAAATAATACATGTACTTAAACCCTTTAATTACGTGAACTCCTCCTTTAACAACCAAGTTCTGCAATTTTCCCAGACGGTATTTATGCAGTCATATGATGCTCACAATAAACAGTACTGGTATGTATTTCCATGCATAGCATTAAACAATCACTCTTTTTAATAGACACACTGTTTGCTGTGAGGAAGAAACCGAATATTTAAATATTATTCAGACAAATTTCAGGTGTCAAAGGTTAATTATGGTATATTTCTGGCTCTATTATATAAATGAATTCCTTTACCTTCCTGGTCAGTAAAAGGCTATAAGATTCATATGGACATAACCAAACACGTCTGTCACATGCACAAATAACAGCTGTGCTGTGCTGTGCTGTACAAATTGTTACCATTTCATTTCCACTTAGCATCTAAATCATGCAAAACAAGTCGAGATACTACTGCTCCCGATATATTGTCATGATTTTGAGTGACTACTTGGATTGGAGATTGGATTTACTGAACAGTTATACACACATCACATAACTGCAAGTAATTATAGCACCACTGCTATCTCCACACTTTCACTAGTCTTTTCCTGGTAACAGATCTTAACAATGGAGATTCGTTAGCTTCTGTGCTCACGTCACTGCCCCTTGGCTAATACTAACTAACTTGCCTCATTCATCCTCACTCTATAGCCTCAGCACGGACCACATGTAAAACGCTATTTCCAACAGTTCCTCTATTGTTGCATGAGGATTCATTGCCACAGGAATATGTTTGCGATGGCATTACTCAGTAACTGCTCTTGTATATTTGCTTATTTCCCAGTCACTGCCAAGCAACAGATCTACACACTACAATATCAAAAGCTATCACTGTTGAGAAATATAAAAACAAGAATGAAAAGCCCCTACTCTGGCACTCTCTTTCTTCACAAAGCAAGGGCTGACAATGAAACTTACCATAATGACATCACCTGGCTGGAATGACAGTTCATCAGAATTTCTTGCCACAAATTCATATAGGGCCCGGTACTTCAGTAAGTTACTGCTGGCAGCTGTAAGGGGAAAGCATTTTCTATGAGAGTGTAATAAAACTGAAAAATCTACTCCATCACTAGCACCACATATCATAAAACACTGTATGGACATATAAACACTGTATGAAACACATTTCAATTAATTGTGTGATACACAGAAGGCAAATGTACAATAAACTTGGAATTTTCTCAAGTATCAATTAAATAACAAATGTCTCTGATGGTCTGTTTTACAGGCAACACTTCTTTTTGTTTAAATTTTAACTTTTATATGCAAAACTTTTTTTTTGCTTAAAAGTTTCACTTTTAAACAAAACAAATGGTTGCATGTGAGACGGAACATCTGAGATATTTGTTAATCAATTAATAATGTGCAACAGACTGCTACACTATAATATTATAATTACTACTTAGTTTAAAATGAACTCAATGAAAAACTGAACATGAATGAATCAGAAACTATCCTTAAAAAGTTACACAAACGGCTTCTTATGCCCTTTCCATGGTCAAATATTTTATTCTGCAGCTATCAAAATACTGTATATGGCTACCTCACATTAGGCATCTACTGTAGCCATGCTTGTCATTTATCAGTACACTAATATGTTCCAAAAATGGCATACACAGCTGAAAACAAAAACTTCCTTTAGTCAACAGTTTTTGAAAGATTAATCCCAAGAAACAAATGTCAAATAACAATAAACTTCATGAGTTGGAAAACCGCAGCTGTTATTCAAGAATCAGTCTCGGTTTCTAATCTGTGACTGAGTAAATCAGCACACAATACAAACTTCGATATGGTAGATGCCTACTTTTAAATTCTTGCTGAAGAGAAGCTATTCTGATATAGGTTTTTCTTTCTTCTGTGTAAATGTCTGAATAATCCCTTAAATAAATGTTTCCTAATAAACATTTCTTTCCATCTCTTCTATACTGCATTTATGCCTTCCTGTGATACATTACTTTTCATGGTTCAATTCCTTCAGCTGTCACCCCACAGAGGTTGTAGCCCCTTCTTGAACTTACAATCCTCCCTTGTTCTTCAGGTTCTCACAGTGATGGCTATGAACAGTTATATCTTCTGAGATATATTGCTGCATACTCTGTTTAAGTCAACTACCATTTCGAGGAACATATACTCTCCATCTTCAGGATCAAAGAATAAGACAAGCAAGTAGCCAGCATGAAGCAGGAGATAGAGGTGATATGTTCCTCAAAATGTCAGCTGACTTTCAATGGACTACATGGCATTATATCCCTGAACATATAATCTTTATGAGGAATAACTTTTCCAAACAGAACCTACACAGCAGGAACCCTCTTCTTCTACCTGATGATGAAGATACATACATATTTTTCACCCAAACAATGGAAAACATCCAAAGGTAATTCCTCCAGACAGAACAAACAACAGTGAAATGTTCATTCGGTGCCTCATATTTACTGAAATTCTAGTAAAACTCCATATTTAGTTAATACCACTACTGATCCCAGCCAAAATCCACTACAAACAATGCACAATTTTCATGTATTTCAAGAACTCTGATTTAGTAAGTAATCCACATTTAGTGTAAGAACTTTCAGACCTAACGGAACTTACAGTGTTACTGTGGTAACGACACTCAACATCTACGTTTCATCTCTGCTGGAAATATTACTGAACAACAAAAGTTCCGGCAAGAAACATCACATATTTAACCTGCACTGAAGCCCTGCCCCTTGTGGCATCATACCTACTTTGGTTCTTGACTAAGGTTCATACAGTGCTTACCTCATATTTCATTAATAATATCAGAAACTAGTTAGATATTATTACTCATAATTATGTAACTGTATTTACTTATGAAGAAACAATATCTCTAAATTAGTAAAGAAATTATTTTAACATAATCATATAAATAAATCTTATAAGATAATCACCAGTTGTTGTTGTTTATTTGTTTGTTGTTTACTTAATGACAATGTCAGATAATATATGATTGTGAATAATCAATTTGATGTGACATGGCAGGAAGCAGTCTTAGAGCAATTTAAAATACTATCCCAGCATCTGCCTGGAGGGATGTAGAGAAACTGTGAAGAACTTCAATCACCATAGTTAATGTCCCTGCTTGTATTCAAATTTGGCCATTCCTAAATAAAATTCAGTTTGTTTCTTGATGTAATTCTGCATAATCCAAATTTAGTGACAACCTAAATGTTGTGTACATAAAGTCATTCCCCCAGAGGGTGATTAAATAAGGAATTCAGTGTATCAACCTGGAGCAACTGTAGCTGTAGTGGTGGTAGCCCAGTTATCTGTAGCTGTTGCATCCCATGTCTGAGGTGCAGTATCCCAACCTGTATCACCCCAAGATGATGAAAAGTCTACTGGCTCTTTCATTCTTCCACTCAACCCCTTCATTTCAAGCACCTGGAAAAATCATGATCATTTTTGATGTTACTTATTAAAAGATTCGGTGAAATGGATGATAAACTTACTACATAACAAAACTGTCTGATATGTAACATTAAACTGGATGTGCAAAACAATGATCATTAACAGTAAAATGAATGACCATGCTGTTTAAGTGCCTTTAAACCCATTACTACAATCTATGCAGTCATAGTAAATGCCAGTCTACTTAACCTTTTGCTGCCATATACTATCGGCTCCGCACGTTTATGTTAAAACTGTCACAGCCAAAAATATTGGTTCGATGTTAATTAGTATAGCATTCCTGCCAATAGAAGGCATCAACTGTGACATATGAACATTTAGAGGACTGAACGGGCTTTCGTAAGTCATATACAGGGGCAATCAGAAAGTTCCCAGACTGTTATTGCTGTAACTACCTCAGTGAAAGAAGATGAGAAGGGAGGCCAAGGTCACAACTCCTGCAAGCACACTGTGTCAGTCTGCCACATGACACCACACTGTGAACAGGCATTGTTTTTACACAAGTGCTTTTTCAACTTCATGTTTTGTTTTGTATGTGACAGATGGCAAAATTCACCAATGTGTCTGCATCAAGTTCTGTGTGAAGTTTGGTAAATCTGCTACCAAAATCCCTGGAATGCTTCGTGAGGTTTTCGGAGAACATTCTTTAAGCTGGACAGCAGTTTTTCAATGGCATTCACCTTTCAAGGCTGGTCAAGTGTCAGCTGAAGATCATGAACGTTCAGGGCAACCAAGCACCAGCAAAACAACAGAATATGTTGAAAAGATTTGAGAACTCATCCATGAAGACCATTACTGAACAATCCATGAGCTCACAGACACCATTGGTATTAGTTATGGAGTTTGCAGGAGATCTTAATAGAAAATTTGAACATGTGCCATAATGCCATGAAGTTTGTTCCCCAACTCTTGACAAATGATCAAAAGCAGTGGCGCATATACATGTCTTGAGCAATGAGAGAAGGCTAACAAAAACCGAACTTTTACGAGTATCTCTAGGATCATAACAGGTGACAAAAGTTGGATTTACAGTTATGATCCAGAAACAAAGTAACAATCATCATGTGAAGTGGAAGAGCCCACAATCACCAAGAGCAAAAAAGGCATGGCATGTCTGAAGTTCAACAAAGAGCATGCTCATTGTTATCTTTGATTTGAATGTGATTATTAACCGTGAATTTGTTCCTCCTAACACTATGGTCAACTCTGACTTTTATTGTGATGTTTTGAGATTCTTGAGAGAAAATGTGCAACGAAAAAGACCAGAACTTTGGCGCAACCATAACTGCCTTCTTCATCATGACGTGCCCACCCACACATCCCTGAAAACCACAGAGATTGTGGCTAACAGCAGCATGGTTATCATTCCCCATCCTCCCTATTCACCTGACTTAGCCCCCCCGTGATTTCGCTTTGTTTCCCAAATTGAAAATGAAACACTGTCTGGCATCAAAAGCAAATCGCAAGTGGTACTTGACAGCATTATAGATAATTACTCCCACGGCGCTTTTGAAGTGTAGAAGTGTGATGGGACCACTGTATACGTTCCAAAGGAGACTATTTGAAGGAGTTGGCAACCAAAATTGAGTATGTTAAGCCAGCATTTCTCTTTTGATCTAGTCCGGGAACTTTCCAATACCACCTTGTATCTACGCCAGTAAAAGGTCATTTGAGTTCAGTGCTGTGGGGTTTTCTGTGCAACTGCATTTACCCCCAAGAACCCTTGGCATTTCTATCACACAGTTCTATGATGGGGCTTGGCAGCCAAATGGTTATACTAAGTCTAAATGTTTCTGACGACGGTGTGGTACAATAAATGTGACTAGGCACTATGGCCCTGGGGTTGACTCAGCCTCTAACAGAAATGAGTACCAGGAATATTCTTGGAATATTCTTGAGGGTAAAGGGAGACCAGTGCATAGGGCTGACAACCTTTCCGCCATCTATGAGCTGAATGTCTAGAAAATGTGGGTACCTCAACATCTCTCAACCCTATGGGCCTCCACGGCCTGTTACAGGGATACCTTTACTTTTTTACTTTTTTTTTACTTATTATTTTCAACACTGCCCAATGTCCTTGAGTTTTTCAAACACAATGATTCAGAATGATTCATATAAGAATAAAAATTTATGCTTAGTTTGGCCATGTGTAGAGAGTACGAGGTCCAAGGATACAAGACTAGATCTTCCTAATGGGCTCAACAGACTACGAATCTTTCGTCCTTTACACTTGATGGAAAGAGATTAGTTTCTCCAATATTGCATTTAAAAAACTCAATGGACAATGTCAAAATTATAATCATATTATTATTAAATAACTTACTGAACTCAATAAAAAAGTTCACTGAATCAGTGATGGACTCAATTAAGGTCACATGGACATATTTTACTTATCCTTGCTATTGCAATCATCAAACAAATCATACACAAAGACCATCATTTTTAAAGTCACAGATGCTCCTACCACAAATGTTTATACATTGAAATATTATTTCATTATTTTATTATAAAAACGTAGAACTGAGAAGGACACTTGCCAAATATAACAGTTAAAAATCCCAATGTAAGAATATATCCTTACTGTAAGTTACTTTAAGCAATAGGATTTTTTTTAGGTAAGAACTTGATTTCAGCATTTATACCCTATTATTGTTAGGTTCCTTTCACTTACAGTGAAATCTAAATTCAGTGTTCCTGTATTTAGTGGACATTTTCTCTGATCCCAGCTGAAGCTCAATATAAGCAATGTATTATTTCAGCAATTTAGTCTGTAACCCACATTTAGAATGACTGTGAGCAAAAGAATAATATTTCTGTTTTCTTTCTGCTGGAAATATTGAACTCCTCATGCAATGATGCCATATAGTTTAGTGCCAAAAAGAAAAATCCATCCTGAAATATTCATTACATAGGGACATCACTGCACTTCCCTGATTGTAATATTACATTTAATTAAAAATCCCTCTCAAATTACATTCTTCTCTTCTGCACAAAACAAACTAACTAAATCTGTCAGTTTACTGAAATATTAAATGTAAAGTAATGTTACTTGCCTTATTTCTTCGTTCTTCATATACTGAATATAAGAGTTCACATTCTTGGATAAGAGATGCTAACTGCTTTTTTAAATCTCCCAACTGGCTATTATTATTTTCTATATCTTCAAGTTTCACTTCAATCTGAAAAAGGAACATATAAATCAATGTCAGAGATGGGTAAATGCATTTTCAGCCTACCTTTCTAAAGTAGGCTTACACGGTCTTCATGTTGTCTGTCTGTGAATCCCTCCTATTACAATAAATTCTGAAAACATAACTCCATCTTCATGAAACTTGGTATGTATATCATTGCATTGAGCTCATCTCAACAGCATATTTCACAAACCCCTCCAATCAGTCTGTGTCCATACGTGTATCTCTCTCATCATTGCAGGCAAAGGCTGAATAAAGCATATCCCTCCTATCGTTGCTAGGCAACAGCTCACTAAAGATATTCCTTTGGCAACAAAGAATTGTTGGGGGCATCGTTTTCTACTTGGTCCATGCCAAATCGAAGGAAAGGAGGTGATTAGTTCTTCCCACAACTTCTTCTTTATTAATATTTTCATGTTCCATTCGGAATGTTAGAGTTGTATGAATGTCATATACACAAATTTCAAATTTCCACAACTTTCATTATTTATTTATTTATGATTTAGTTAATGATACTGTCGGTAGTTTTGACTATATAGCACTGAATGTTAGAATGATTGATGAAGAACAAACTGGAAACGATGCACAAGGAAATGCTAGTGGCCTATTCTGAGGTACTATTCCAATATTTGCTTAGAGGGACTGAGAAAACTAATGAAGAATCTCAGTCAGTACAGTCAGTGTCCTTGCTAAGATTCAAACCAAGTACCTTCCAAGCATAAGTCACACATGTTTCTGTATTTCAAGATAAAGCAGCAATAATTAGGTACTGTCTTCAGGCAAAAACAGAAATGCACACACATCAGAAACTCTGTACTAACACCAGGTTTGCATTAAATGTTATGATTTGGATAGGCCGCACCATAGCTCAAGCGGTTAGTCGCTTGCTTCCCAATGCAGCGGCCTGGGTTTGAGCCCGGGTCTGGTCAAGTGGGATTTGTAGTGGGGAAAGTGACACTGGGGCAGGTTTTCTCCAAGTACTTCAGTTTCCCCTGCCAATCTTCATTCCACCAAATTCTCCATCATCATAATCACCCAGGGCAGGTACAACAGGCCAATCAGTGGCCTACATGCCGAGCGGATCCAGCTGTGAACTTAATTTTTTTTATGCTTTGGATTTAAATCTGCTGCTACAACATAGAGTTGGCAGCATTTCGATTTTTATGTTGTAAACAATACAATGCTAGCCCTGTTGGAATGGCACATGCATCAACACAGTTGCACAATGCATGGATAAATGTTAAACTTAATACTAACAGTCCTTAAGATCCAAGTCTGGATTCACCATCCTTTCCTTTCACACAAAATGATCGCAGCAGAACATGCAATTTAATACTAAGCTTTTAATAAAAATTTGAACCCACAATATATCTGGATGTTGGCCATTCAGGGTTTTGGTATTCAGTACAATAACAACAACAACGATTCTGAGAACATTTGTAGAAATCAACAACACAAAAACTTTACATTACACAGTATGGCATGAAGACCTGTCGCTGGGCAACAACTGTGAGATAAGTAAACATACAACAGCTGCTACTTTGTACATTTGCACATCTAGCGGTCATTGCCCAGCAGCAGGTCTACGTGCTGCAATACAATACAAATCTACTTCACAGAGAAGGTTCACAATGTGGATGATGATCTCTTTTAATGTAATGTAATTCACAAAACCTAATACCTCTTTTAAATTATCCTTCTAATGTACATGTGTTCTTACCTCTTTCTGCAAGTCCTGCAACCTGTCTCGCATTTGCTTAAGAGTAATTTGTTTATTAGTAAATGCTAATTTCACTTGTTCTTGATTTGCTGTGTCAGCAGCCATATTCATCTTGTTTCGAGCTTCAAGTCGTGCCTTCTCTTGGCTCAAAGCTACCAAACGTTGATTCTGTTCCTTAAGCCGAGCCTTCAAGGCACTCATTTCTGACAGCTGAATATCTCGCGTTGTTCGCATTCCATCAATAGTTGTCTTTATGCCTGACACCCCTACTCGTGTCTCAGTAATCTTCTGTGATAACTCTTTAACTTTTCCATTCTAGAAAGAAATGTATATGAATCAAATCTTCTGCATGGATTTAGAAACAGAGATGTATGCTTGTGCCACTCACAGTGAATGAAGGACTTAAGATTTCTTAAAATATATTATTTGTTTGCTTAACAATGCTGTCAGCAGTTCAAACTATATACAAGGTCTTACAATAAAGTTCGCGAACTCGCCATGGCAGCAGTAGCCAAAATCCTCAGTTTGGTTTGATGATGCTGGCATATCAGCGTTTCACAGCTGTGCTGTTCTATGGCAGTCTCTTTCTGAGTGGCATTTACTATTGTCTGAGTGTGTTTTGGTGTGCCACTGTGAAAATACCAGAGCTTCTTGTTAAACTTGGCAAGAGTGGAAGTGAAATCAGACAGATGTTAGTGCAAGTCTGCGGGGATAATGCTACGAAGAAAACAGCAGTTTACAAGTGTTTGACACGTTTTTCTGAGGGAAGAGAAAGTGTCACTAATGAAGAGAGATCAGGATGGTCAGCAACAAGCAGAACTGAAGAAAACAATCAAAAGTTCGTCAAACTGTGCATGAAAATCATCGGCCAACTGTCAGGAGCATATCAGAGCAAGTGAACATCGACAGAGAAAGAGTTGGGAAAATTTTAACTGAAGATCTTGACACAAGGAAGGTGTTGCAAAAATGGTCCCAAAGAACCTGCTCATACGGCACTGTCTGTGAGGGAGTTTTTAGCTAGAAAACAAATACCTGTACTGGAACACCCTCTCTATCCACCGAATCTAGCCCCCAGTGACTTCTTTCTGTTCGCAAAGATAAAGAAAATATTGAAAGGAAGACACTTTGATGACACTGATATCAGGAGTAATATGATGGCAGCTCTGAAGACCATTCCACAAAACCAGTTCCAAAATTGGTTTGAAGGGTGGACTAGGCACTGGCATTGGTGCATAGCTTCCCAAGAGGAGTATTTTGAAAGCAACCACAGTGATATTCAGCAATGAGGTATGTAGCACTTTTACCATGATGGGTTCGTGAACTTTATTGTCAGACCACGAAATGCCAGACTGTATGGTGAGAGTTGGAAAGGACATGGGAAAGCACTTGCCTGGAGGCCATAAGGAAACCATGAAAACCTCAGCAGAATAGTCAGTGTCCTGGTCAAGATTCTAACTGGGAATGTCCCAAATACAAGTCAGAAGAATTATCACTTAAACTAACTTGCTCAGTGATTGCTTAAAATGGGAATGGAATTGAAACCAAATAAAAACAGACAAGCAGAAAGGCTAGGAACATGGTAGATGGACCAAGTGAAGATATGCACAAAAAGAAGTCATGGACATAGGCAATGGTCTTGAAACAGTGGTAAGATGGATGAAAATTTTCATTTCATTGTGAGGACAGAATAAAAAGAGTAGGGGGTTTCACTGTTTCAATGTTCGAGCACTCTGATTACAGGAACAATCCTATTTACTTACCAACTGTGAGAGCTCTATACTGAGATTCTGGTTCTTGGCCTTTAGACGAAGTACTTTCTCTTGTTCCCTCTGTCGCTGCTGCTGTAATTCCTGACATCGCTGTTTCTCCCATTCTAACTGCCTTTGTCGTTCCATTTCTCTAAAATAATAAAGTGTTTCTGTGGTCATGATTAAGATATCTAGGAGCATAAGAACAAATGTTTTAAGAACCAAACCTATAAAGTGAAGACACGCCATTACATCACAACACACACCCATCAAAATTAAAATTCAGAAACCTCTGAAGATCTTAGGCATTAGGCAAGCAGAAGAGGCCAATGAATAAAAATTTACAGAGAAATAATAGGTGACAATTAAATAAACATACCACAAGAAAGCTTGACGGTGTGCTTACTGCATTTCTGGTTAACTACTCTTATAGGCATGCATTTATAAGGGTATCAGATTACATCCCCCCGAAAAGGCGACACATACTTGTATATTTCCAAAATTACTTTACTTAATTAAAACCAAATAATTAATTTGACTTATAATATTAACAACCAAACATCACTGTTATAATAATTATGTATTAAGTCCATATTGGACTAGCAACAATAATTCCATTTAATGAAACCAGTGCACACCTTCTTGCTGCCTCTCTCTGTTCCTGTGCTCTCCGCCTCTGCTCCTCTCTCTCTTGTTCAACTTCTCGTTGCCGCTGCAGCTGTTTTTCAAATTCTAGTTGGCGACGACGTTCTTGTTCTTGTCTGGAATATTAACTTACATGTAATATTACTATTGTGCTTTCTCTGGAAAAATGGTGGTAGTAATTACAAAGCAAATAAGTCAATGTTGAGCCCATTTTTACCCTACTTTCCTTCCTTAAATAAGAATGGTATGTATTATTACATATTGTGGCGTATTTGCTCTATGCAGAACTGTTGAGCCACACAGGCCTCAAGGCACGTGCACAATGTGAGAGTTGCAGATTGTGTCAGCACATTTCTAGGCGACAACTCTGTGAATGCTTGGACAGCGCAACAGGAAGTGCGAGTGTCACATACCCCCACCCAGCCGTCGCTACACGATGCTCCATAAACACATCTCCACGGCAGGCTGTGAGGTCATGCAACAGTGGTAGCTATCATGTAACTGGTTTCTATGGAGTCTGTTGCTAGGCAATAGCTCAGTAAAGGCGTTCCAACCGTATAGGCTGTTTTCTGTGTGATCAGTGAGGAAGCCAGTTAATGAGAGTATTCATCAGTGTTAAGAGTAACCCCTGTGTGGAGGCAGGGTCGAATACCTCCACTGTGACCCTGCGAGTCATAGGAGGCAACGAAAGGGAAGTCTCACATCTGAGACAGTAAAATATGGTCACGAGTCCCAACGGACTCGGACCCAAGAAATACTGCGCTGCCAAGGGCCAGCGGCATTTACAAAAGACAGACCCATCCTCTCGTCAGAGAGGGTGCCACCCAAAATCAAGACCGTAACTGTCAAACAGTAATATTCGAAACCAAGACTTACTGACTGACCGCCAGTCACAATGTGACTTTGACTTTTGACTTGCTAAGAGTAGTTAAAAGTAGTTGAGAGTGGCAGAAGCAAGCGAAGTGGAAATAGGAATACAAAAGGTTGCCTGTGAGGATGTCAACTGTGATTTAGAAGACTTTATGTGTGCGATGGTGCCTGCAACAGTGGATTATGAGAGTCATGTAAATCAGCAATAGCGCTGCATTTGAGTGTAACTAAAGAGTGTGTGTAACCAAGCTGTTAATAAATCCAATCATCGGAAATAGAACCCGTCATTTCGTCAAGCATACCTTCCTACATATGACAATATCATCAGAAAAGGAAATCAGTGACTATTACTATAGCATTTTGCAAAGCTACAAATAACTGAAGTACAAATTTCAGTTCCAACATTAACTGACATTACATTTCTACTTACCTAATTCGTTCCCTTTTTTCTTGTTCCTCCTTTTCTTTCCTCTCTCTCTCTTCTTGTTCTTTACGCTGGATCTCTAACAATGCTTTACGTCTACGTTCCAATTCAGCCTGGCCTTTCTCAAAATTCTCTTTACGCTTGTCCTCGAATGTAACTATAACCACAAAATATCACCGCTTTAAAAGCAAAAAAACCACATGTAATATACAGGGTGTCCCAGGAGGAATGTGCCAAACTTCGGGAGGGTGTTCCTTATGTTAAAGTATGCCGATATAACCCAAAACACCTATGTCCAAAGTTGAACGGTTACGGAGATAATGGCCCGAGAAGTGTCAAACTTTGACCGGGGTTACACACTTGTTGATTACAAAATANTGCGCCCGAATTACTTTCAGTTGGCTGTTTAAAATTCAAACACCTCATGGATTTATTTCAAAGTTGTCAGACAAGAAGAAAAATCATGCTTGAGCATGCTATCTTCTATTTATGATCTGATTGCTGCAGCTGAACCTGTATTGTAAATTTTAATGTTATAAACAGTTTCTATGTGATCATGTACATATGGATTTCCAAGGTAATAGATGCTTTACTGATGTTCTGGGATTTGGTACCCTGAATTAACACTATGTTATGTAAATAAGATCTAAAAGATTGTGACGATAGTACATTAGTATAAATACTATGTTTTTGGACATTATCCATTGTCCTGTATTTATCTAAAAACCTACTCAGATGTTTTACATGAAGACGGAAACAAAATCTAGTCTCTGGAACATTTTGTTATGTAATAAAAACAGGATGGTGTTTTTAGATAAAGGCAGGATGATGGATAATGTCCAAAAACATAGTATTTGTACTATATAATGTAATTTGATTCTAGAGTATGAATCAAAATTATGAGTACTAACCTGCTGGCAAGCTTGCAGCTGCATCTTTCCCTTCAACTTGTTCAGAAGAAATTCCTGTAGCACCTCCAGTCAGACTGCTCTGACGCTGTCGGCGAAATGTTGGGGGTATGAGGTCAGCTGATAGAGTTGGTGGTATCTTCTCACCAGCTTTTGCCATGTCACACAAATGCAAAGCCAAGACAAATTCTTCACATGACAACCGCCCATCAGAATCCATGTCTGCCAATGCCCTGTAAGCAGAATAGCATATTTTATACACTCACAATATACAGGTAACAAGTATTTTAGGTGGGTGCACACAGTACATTTTAGGTCCCTCAAGGATCACATACTGCATGTATATGTAATTTGAAAAAACAGTTATAACCCATCTAGTTTACACTTCTTCCCTTAACTGGATAAGAAGAAGTATAAATATATAGTGAAAAATAGACATTAACCATAGAAAAAAAGGCCATCTCCATGGGAAAACAAACCAGGAAGATAGCTAAAATAAAATAATTATATTTACTTAATTTTAAAAAATGTGTTTTTTATAACATATGAATATTATCTTTGGAAGATCAATCTAATTTGTAAATGTAGGCAGTAAAAAATATGACAATAAATAGCCAATGATGTTAATGAATTGTGATGAAACATTTTATGAGTAATTTCAGAACAAGATGTAAATTACCATCTAAGTACATCTGGTTTATATCCTTGTACTGACTATATATTAAAACACTGAAATATTTTGTTCACACAAGACCCTCTTCATGGGGTGTATCATAGTAAAGAGAAACTTTACAATTCATATACATAAAAAATAAAATGTTTAAAATATCCATGTCATAAATTTATTATAAAAAATTAAACCTCATCAGCAGTTATTGAGGTTCAGTTGCTTAAGGCATGTTGTGCTATGTTTTATGTGGCTGTCTCATAATAATACAACATGATATGTGGTTCTAAGTGAAGTGGTTATCTCTTACTTTAAGACTAAAATATATAAACATTTTTCTTATCAACAAAACGTTATCTAAGTTATCTGAATATTTATCAAAGAGACAAGAGTTCTACTGTTCTTGACAGGTGAAGTATTAAACTGTGTATGTACTAGTGTTGTGTAGGCTTGTATGTGGTTGGCATTATGTGCGTGCATGGTCAGAAGTGTATTTTGGTTTCATATGGTTTACAGCTATGTAAAACAAATAGTAGTTTTCTACTTCAGATTTTTGTTCCTGCATGACTTTATCCTGTTTTTATACATATAGATGTCAAAATTTTTCTTCATGTCCATTATTTGACCTTTTCTGATGAACCTATATTCTCCATAACATCTTCTATTTTTCATACTGAGGAATGCTGTGTCGGATGTGTGCTGTGTATCTACGTCTCCTTTATTGCATCTCATTAGCCTGCTCTCCTTGGTTTGAAAAAAGAAATAAAAATGAGGCTTATGAGGTCACCTTGCTGTTTGCATGTGTGTGTAGCCTCAAATGTTTTCTTTTTCCATGCAATCCATGTCATATCAAAGGAAAGTAGATGATTGGTTCTTCCCAGAATATCTTGTGTTTCTCTGTAACTAATATGAAAAGAACATCCTGTTGTCCTGTGTAGGCTCTTTTTAAATCTAGGAACATAAGCTTGTATATTCCTGTAGCTTCATATTTGTCAACAGTTTATGTTTTGTGGAGTATGTGTCTTATAGTGTTATTTTAAATGATATTTTGATTTTTCCTTCATGAATAATTTTGTGACAGTATACATGCAGCTGCCAGAGTAAGTGAAGAAAGTTCATTTTTTAACTACTTTTATGTTATATAAAAAAAGGTAAAGCTGTCCCTGTAACAGGCTGTGGAGGCCCATAGGTTTGTGAGGCATTGAGGCTCCCACATTTTCTCTAGATAATCGGCTCACAGATGGCTGCAAAGTTGTCAGCCTTATGTGTCAGCCACCCTTTACCACTCAGGAAGATATCTGGTACTCATTTCTGTTTGAGGCTGAGTCGACCCCAGGGCCATAGTGCGGCTGGAAGGATTAGGTGCACTGAAAAAAAATCCATCCCATCGGGACTCAACCCCACGACCTTTCAGTTGGCAGCACAGTGGCTCAACCAACTATGCTACCGTGTGCCCCTTTGTTTGTCATAGGACTGTTTATTATTTCTGATTTGGTCACACATGTTATCATATGAGGAAATAAAACTAGGCATACCTATATGGTAATTTGCATCTTGTTCTAAAATATGCAGCATATGGGAAAACTAACTTTATCTAAGTATGTCAAGGTTAAGCGAAAGATTTTACAGAAAATTGAATTTCATGTTGTTATTTACATATTAAACAGATATTACATACATGATAAGAGGTACAGAATATATAAAATTAAACTCATTATTCTTCTAATAGAATTCTCTGAAAGATACATAAACCACCACTTATTACACTCACCATATCTGTGCTAGAACTGGTTGTGCAAGCTGTGTTTGCACCATTATGTTCCGAGCTTGAGGTCCCGACAGGAAACCAGACCGTGCCCGATCTGTTGTGTTAAACAACTGAGTGTATTTTAACTTTGACTGATGGGGAACAGCCCATTCTTGGAGTGGAGATCCCACAGACAAACTGAAAGCAGAAAATACATATTTTGTAAGTCAGTAACTATATTTATAATCATAAAAATTATGAGTACCATTAGTATGACATGTATGATGCAATCCTGGGGCCAGCAATTACATCCATAATGGAACAAGGAAGGTTAAATTTTAAAGTCATAATCTCCTTAGTCAAAATCTCTGTATATCTGTGAGGTGTTTACAGTTCCTTAAGTGTGAAAATTATACTTACTGTAACTGCTTATTTAAAATTGCTGATGAGAAGGTAATCAGTGAACAAAAGGACTGGTAAAATTTGACAAACAGCATTGTACTGAAATACTGACATCAATGTAAAAACCTGATTCTGTTTAAAGCAACCTAAATAGCCTGTGATTTTGTTTGCACTTACGGAGAATCAAGGGATGTTACTCTCTCTATGGCAGAAACCGGAGGTACCACAGTGGAAACTGGAAAAAATAATTCAATTCATTCGCGATTAGTTTAAGCAAAACTAGAAAAGCAGATTTAAATTTCGAAACATACTTTCCAAATATGTTCTTTGCAGTGTTGCATACCTGTTGATCTTAATGTCCATTTATTAGACATGAATCCGTTACTATAAAGCTAATCACACCACCTCTACCATACTGCACTGAACCATAAATTTCTGACTTCTAGTTTGTGAACAATGATTACAATGGTTCAGCCATATAATAAAAAATGACACAACAAGGATACAGAAAAGGATATCATAATTCAAATTTAAAGGAGCAAACCCTACAAGATGACCTAAAACAAGATGGTTAAGCTAGGTATTGGATAAAGCAAGAGGTGAGAAAAGAGAAGGCACAAAAATCAATAAGGAAGGATTGCAGAAAAGAAAGATGAGATGCTTTCCACTAACACATACAAAACACAAATGACACAAAGAGAAAAAGAAAGAAATCTGTAACACATATCCCATATTAACAAATATTTCAAATGAAAATCGCAGGTTTTAATGCAACCTACACGAGGTGCTGCTGGGGTCAATAATGTAAATGCTTTGGACTTTAGTTATTTTACAATAATTCCAACTGTAAAGGCTATTTACACACACGATATAACAGAATCGTTCTTGGTGTACTGAAAAGAATGTTGACCTATTTGAAGATACTATTCTGGTGGAGTAACTGGCATGCAGGAGGGAGGGGGCCTCAGCCAGGATGGCTAGATTTGTACCGGGTGCCAACCAGACACATGAGAACTGAAAAAACCCTGCTGATTTAAATATGAAAATTAAGTCAAGTAAAGGAGGACGAGGCCGGTCACGGTAGCCAAGCGGTCTAAGGCGTGCACTGTCTTCGCTCACTTGGAAGCTGGGATCGTGGGTTCGAATCCCACTCAGGGCATGGATGTTTGTGTGCGTTTTTCTGTGTTTGTGTACAGGTAGAGGCCTTGCGACGAGCTGAATATCCGCCCAAGGAGTCCTACCGTACTTGTAAGATCTAGAAAAACCGAAGTGAACAGAGAAGTTCACAGAGGTAGGCCTAGGCCCACTGGGGCTGTAGTGCCAAGGAAAAAAGAAAAAGGATGAGATGGGCAGGGTATATAGTATGAATGAGTGAGAATAGGAATGCATATAGGATATTGGTGGGAAAGCAAGATGGAAAGAGACCACAAGGAAGACAACGGCATAGGTGGGTGGACAATATTAAAATGGATCTTAGACAGATAGGATGGGATGGTATGGACTGGATCAATCTGGTTCAGGATAGAGACCAGTGGAGAAATCTTGTGAACACAGTAATGAACCATAGGGTTCCATAAAATGCTTGGAAGTTCTTGAGTAGCTGCACAATTGGCGGCTTCTCAAGAAGAGCTCAGCTCCATGAGTGAATCACTTACCAGGTGGTGGCCTTGGAGGTGCTGCACTCTGGCCCACGGCAACTGAACCATTGCTCAGTGAATGAGAAGCAGACTGTGTTACAGACATTCCACTGACAGGTGAAATAGCTGGAGCAACACCCATAGGTGCAGTGATGATACTTAATGGGGCTGAAGGAATTCCAGCTGAAGCTGTAGAGATGGGACCCATTCCAAGAGAAGAAATTCCAACTGTGGAAGGAGGAACACCGACAGGAGTAACTTGTGCCATACCAAGAGGAACTTTCATTGCTGGAATTGCATTATGTTGCTGTGTAGTCATAGGAATGATTGGAGGTGCCACACTGGAAGGAGGTACACCAACTCCAAGTGCTGATCCTGATGCTAAAGGAGGTCGAGGCATAGGTGGAACAGCAGGTGGAGTACTCTGAAGCATATTTGTAGTTACACCACCTGGAATCAAAGAATGTCAAGTAATGATGACAACAATGCTGACCATAAAAGCAGCAGCAGCAAATACCACCACCACCACTTCTGAAACCACTGCTACTCAAATTACAAACAACTTATCTGCATTAGAAAGATTCATGCATGCATTCAATCCCAGAACATGATGTCCAAATTTACTTGGATTTATGTAATTATAGTACATACATAATCTTGATTTGTGATTATGTCATTAAAGCTAGATATTAAAATGAAGGGCTACAAACACTGTTTTAAAGGGTTCTGATGATGATGTATAATACTCAGGATTACTGGGTTTTTGGACTTTGTCCAATGTCTGGTATTCTAGAAACTAGAAAACATAACATTTTGGAAACTGGGCCCGTTTCCATCCCCATGTGTGGGAGAGAAGACACCTACTCCGTTGGGTACCTTAGAAAGAGCTAACCTTAATCACAGAGTAGGTATATTCTCCCCTTCACCTGAGGTCAGAAACAGATCCAATTTCCAAAACACTGTTTTCTAGTTTCTAGAATACTGAATGATGGACAAAGTCCAAAAATCTAGTAATTCTGTGTTACACTTGTTTTAAGAAATTGTATTATAAGTGTTCAGTCATAGTTTCTATGTTACACATAAGTAATTTTCACAATATGTTTTGTGTCTATACAGAATATAACTACTCCACTTCTGATTATATGAAAATGACAAACATACCAAGTGGTTTTGTTTGTTGCAAGAGACTAGGAGGTAGCACCTTGGGTAACTCAAAGTTCCGCAGTTTGAGGTTGATCAACTTGCATGCAATGCTGAATTCTTCAATATTCATTTTACCATCTGCATCCGTGTCTGCAAGTGACCTACATAAAAAAGCTAAGTGTAATTTTTCTTCGAAGGCTAGAAAAAATGTCAATCAATTCATAAGTAGCAAAAAAATGTATATATACTAATGAATACTCTCAGTTATTTATATGTGGCAAGTTATTTGCACTTTGGATTCAAATGGATAAATAAAGAAATATTACAGGAAATAATGAAAGTCAGACTGGTTGTTAAAGAAAGACAACAGACTATTAGCCTAGGTTCTCATGGCAGTCAGTATCAAGATTAGGGTCTTCTGGGATGTGATGTCACGTAGCCTGATAAATTGGTGCTACCATGAAGATGCATGGAGCAGATTCTGACAATACAGTAACTATGTACAAGAGTATTTGGTGTCACTTCCCAGTAGATAGTATTCTTGAAAGATTATGAAACATTTACACTGGGAACATATCTGTGGAACCACAGCAGTGCAGAATTATTATTATTATTATTACTATTATTATTATTGTTGTTGTTGCTGTTGTTGTTGTTGTCTTTTTTTTTAAGTGCAAATGGCTTTTTACCTGGTGGCAGTGGTACCACAATAAGACATAACACACAATTAACACACCACACAGAACTAAACAAACAATAAAGGACACACTACACACAATGAATAGAATGCAAATATAGTTACAACTACATAAATTAATATTAATAAAAAATAAACAAACTATACACTAAAGAGTAACAATAATGAAATATGTAATGTCATGAACTTATGCAGTCACATTTCACTTCACTACACTTGCATACGCTTTATATTCTCACTTCACTTCACTTCACTTCAGCTCACCTCACCTTACCTCACTGCATTTTTTGATGATTTCCCCCCACACCTTCACTTTGCCTAACTTCTTATTTTCCTAAAATTACTTGTTTACAGGAGACAGTCCTATAGCATCAGCAGGTAGATGGTTCCAGAGTTGGATGGTCCTATTTACAAAGGAATATTTTCTGATATCTGTCTTTTGCTCTCTGCTTCTAATTTTCCTATCATGATCAACCCTGATAGCATGGTCTTTGTAATCTATCGCCTACAGCCTTCCAAGACAGTTATCCTGTGTACGCTTTGAAAAGAGCGCATATACAAGCTATCTTTCTGCACTTTGCCAAGGTTTCCCAGTGTGAATCACTTCTATCATGTGCAAATTTAGCCACTATGTTTTGCATCTGGACTAGTGCATTTATCTGTCCCTTCCTGTAAGGATTCCAGCATTTATATTCTGTGCCTGTGCACATTTGTGAATAATCTGAAACGCAAATGTATATGTATGTATGTATGTATGCCACTCCATATTCAAGAATCAGATGCACTAGTGATGTGTTGGTTAAACTTTTAGTGCTACTATTTCCCTTTTTATGAATACGCACTGTGAAATGACATGCCTTCCAGCTTTTTTCATCATGTAATTAACTTGATCAGCTCAACTTAAATCGCTGGTAAAATTATTCCCAAGTATTTACAACTGCTCGCTTCTGGAATTACTATGTCCTGTAATGAACAGTTTAGTTCTTCTGTCACTTGGGCTCTCATGAAACAAACTACCTTGCTTTTAGCTAGATTAATTCTCACTGCATTCACAATTTCTCACTTCCCCAGCCTGTTCAGATTATCTGCAACTGTTCCATATCTTTATTACTTATAATTTTCCTATATATTATACAGTCATCTGCAAAAAGTCTAATACTTGACTCAGTATTTCTCCAAATATCAGTTACGTACACGAGGAAGAGTAGTGAACCCAGTACACTTTCTTGTGGTACTCCTGACATTACTCTGACTTCCTCCAATAATTGTCCTTCTAATCTAGCGCTCTGTGTTAGGTCTGAGAGGAATTCCCTCAGCCGTACAACTACCCTCAAGTCCACTCCCGAGGCCGCAATTTTTGTATGCAGCTGATCATTCCCAGCATTTTCTGGAACCCAAAGGTTTATTACTGTGTTCACAAGAGCCCTCCACTGGTCCCTATCATGAGCCAGATCTATCCAATCCATACCATCCCATCCTATCTCTCTAAGATCCATTTTAATATTGTAAGCAGCCGATCATGGGGAACTAAATCGAAAGCATTCAAAAAATTTATTACAATAGTGTCTATACTACATCCATTATCCAGTGAGTCTGCAATGTCCTCGCAAACTGTGATTACTTGACTTTCACATGAATATCCCAGCCTGAATCCACGTTAACCCTCAAATAACCAATCCTTTTTATCCCAAATTTTCTTCAGGTATGATGCAATAATGCGTTTCATTTGCTTGCAAGCCACTGAGGTTAAACTGATAGGTCTGTAATTTGTGACCAGCATTCGGTCACCCACCTTGTAAATAGGAATCACTATGGTTTTTTCCAATCACTTGGAATAGTGGCATTATCAGTTGTTATGTCCAATAATCGCTCATGCCTTCCCCACCCAGTTTTAGAATTTTGCCAGAAACACTGCCTGGCCCTACTGATTTGTTTTTACCTATCACTGCTAACGTTTTCCTAATGATTTTGGTACTAATGGTGAAGGGTTTACCTGAGTTAGCACACTGCATTTGCAGGATGTTACGCTCACAGGAGAATATCAAAGGATAACAGAAGCTAGCAGAGTTAGCCTTTTCTATTGAATCAGTAATGAGCCATCCATTATCATCTTTGATCATAGGAATATTTTCCCTGTTGCCTTTACATCTTCTTACGTACTTGTAGAACTCAGTCCAGCACTCACTTTAATTTTTTTTAGTATATACCTTAAAAATATCTCCTGTGCACTTTCTTTTTGGCTAAGAGCAACTGCTTTGATAGTCGTTTCAGTTCCTCTGAGTACTGCTGTCCTAATTTTCTTCTATTACATGCTATCAGAGTTCCACTTCCTGCTGTCAGCCATTTGAGCCTTGATGTTTCCACAGCTGTTGTGAAACCAACATCCACACATGTTGCATTGTGCTCCAGATTTTAAGTTTCTGTCACACCCACTACACAATACTGTTCTCAGCCTCCACACCAGGTCCAGGAGTTTGCTCCACCCTTCTAATTACTAATAATACAGTCAAAGCCACTAATCACAGAAGCATGTTCTCTATGTAACTTATTGCTTGCCCACTGCTGCCTTGGCCTTGGGCAGTACGCCATGAAGTCCTCGCAGCCCAGGTACCCATGCAGGTTCAGTAGTCCTCCAGGCAGCAACCCATTAATTTCACTACTCCGAAAACACGTCCACTCTCAACAACCCTCAAGACCAGAATACAGGATCCAGTTCATTTGGGGGGTGGGGAGTTGGTATGATCATGTCTGCTTATGTAACAGATAATGCTTATACCACTATCAGGACTGAAAATAATATGGACACTTGTGTAACTCTCTACTCGAACTGGATGTTGCCATGCTGACATTACTGATGACAGGAAACTCTGAAGTACAACTGTAGTGTCCTATAACGGCACAATATTTTTAAACCAAATTTCTAGAACAAATCAGATGACTGCTTCATTTATATTAGGAAGAAAATATACACATATGAAACATAATGCTATTCAAAGCCTAACTTTCCTCATAAAATATGGAACACATGCTCAAAAGAAATATCATACCATATATGGCCCAAAATTTGTGGTGGAAGTTGAGACTGAAGCAAGAAGCCTTTAGCCTGTTCACCTGTAACAATACCATTAACAGGCTGTAAGGCTCGGAACTGTTCTTCATAACGAGCTCTTTCTTGTGGAAGGATGACCCACGGATCTACAGCTCCACCTATAAAGAAATTTAAATGTTATAATATACACTCTGTGAAAGACTTCTCATGTAAACAGACTCTTTAGTAAAAAAAATTATATCAGCCTGCTTTTTAACTGACCTGTAACAGGCTCAGTTAATTTTCTTTTAAAATATAACATCAATATTTCACAAAATACTGTCTCATATTTGGGATGGTGCATAACTTATAGATGGGTTTGGACTGATGACCGAATTTATTGCACATTTATACAACTTGTTACTACACTTCACAAACCACCTCGCTGTTGCACAGAAATGGTACTTCTGTTGTTGCTTGCATGTTCATTTCCAGGGGAACCTGTTTACAAAGTCACTGGCTAGCAATGAATGTCTACTCTGGGTCTCAGTCATCATATCACAATATCATCACCATGCAGGCATATTAAAAAAAAAAAAACAATTTCAGAAGTTGTTATTACAAGGGACTGCTTCTGTGGTCTAGTGGTCAGAGTTCCTGTCTACAGATCCTTAGGTCCCTGGCTCGATTCCCTGCGATACCAGATTTTCTGAGAAGTAGAGGGTCTGGAATGGCGTCCACTCAGCCTCATGAGGATAACTGATGAGCTATTTCAAGGAAATAGTGGCTCCGGTCTAGAAAACCGAGATTAACAGCCATGAGGATCTGTTGCGCTGACTATGTGACACCCTCTATCTGCAAAAGTTGGCACTAACTTCGCCGACAAGCAGCGGTCACTCAGTCAGTATATTTCACTTGCGAAGTTTGTTTTTGTTTTGTTATTATAAGTAAGGACTGCCTAATCATGCCACATACAGACAGCATCTTACATCATACAAAAATGATGTTTACTTTTTCCATCACAAATAAGTTATATAATTCACCTGGATATCATACAGTAGCAGTACTGTTTGTAATACATCACCAAACTAGAAATGGTGAATAGACTATGAATGTCAGGTAGGAGCACAAAAATAAAGAATAATTACCAAGTGGAGCTGCCATGACTCAGATCTGGAAGCTGAAAAAACATAAGAAAACAAAATGTCAGCAACTCTTGAAAATGCTATCCAGTACATGTAAAATTCTATAACAAATTGTAGTTACTTATTCTATTATTTATGTCAGTTCAACTGAATGAGGTATTAGCACTCAAAGAAAAAATGGCAGCATGATTATTAACAGCAAAGAAACCATTTCAAATGACAGCAGACTTCAACACATTGCCCTAAATAAGAACATACTGACACTGTCACCCTCAATTTATCTTTTACTTCTGGCTCCTGCCTGGTTTTTATTTTAATTTTAGCATAACTTCATATTAAGCCACAGTTGTGTAGTCGGTATAGTGACTGGGCTGGATAACTGAGGGGTTGGAGTTCGAGTCCTGGCAGGGTCAAGAATTTTCTCTTCTCCAAATCGTCCAGACCTGCTCTGGGGTTCACGCAACCTCCTATCCAATGGGTACTGGGCTCTTTCCCCAGGGGTAAAGCAGCAGGGGCGTGAAGCTGACCACTCACCTCCAGCTAGTGCTGAGGTCAAGAAAATGTGGATCTATACATCCACTACCACATACGCCTTCATGGTGTAGGGCTTAATTCATTGAGCACAGGGCAACTTTACCTTTACCTTTATAACTTCATAATAGCATGACCAGTTAGTTATTTAAGCCTCTTTGCCTATACAGTGCATCTGCTATAGTATTTATTGACAAATGTTTAATAGCCAAAGCAGATGGTAATTCTTTACTTAGAAATCTGTTTTAAGGTAGAGAGGATATATGAGGGTTGGAATTTTAATAGTGGCAACACTGCTGTAGAGACGCCATGCAACGGAACCAAATGCCACTTATACCACATGTTAGTTACATACCTACCTTACCACAGAGCAAATGGACTCTCCCTTCCCACATCACGTGCATGCGCAGTGACAAGAAGAACAGAGCCTCGTGTTAGCTGGCGGTCTAGTGTAGTGTTGTCACGATGTTTTCCAAACAGGAACAACGGAGTTGGATAAAGATTGAATGTGCCAGAGGCTGTACAGCACGACAGTGTCATCAAGGTCTTCAAGAGGCTTGCTGGGAATCTTCATTGCCTTACAGAACAGTGGCAAGGTGGGTAAAAGCCTTCAACAAGGGACGCCAAAATGTGGCAGACATGCGTCGGCCAGGTCTTCCTAGTGTCAGTGAAGAAGAAGTGTATGCTCTTTCCGCGTTACTGGAGTGAGATCGATGCCATACGATTCGTGAGCTGGCCTGAGAGACAAGATTAGCGAACAAGACTGTGCTTCACTTTCTGAGAAAAATTGCATCATGATGGGTTCCGCATGATTTGATGGAAATGCAGAAATGGCTACGATACGACGCTGCTCGTAACCACTTGGAGTGCTATGAGCGCGAAGGAGAGGCTTTCTTACCCCATATCATTATGCTGCATGAGGCATGGGCCAAATCGTATGGGCCACAAATGAAACGCCAATCGAATGAATGGCATCATTATGGGTCACCACGAAATTCAAAAGTTTGTCAGAACCCCAGCAAAGCGAAAGTTATGGCGATTCTCGTGTACGACTGTGATGGTGTTATCCTAACACATACCATTCCCCAACAGCAGACCATCAATGCACAGTATTACTGTTCATTTTTGGAACACAACCTGCGACCAGCTTTGAGAAAGAAACGGTGACACTTTCTGCAGAACCCACCCATCATTTTGCAGGACAATGATCAGCCACATGCAGCACAAGCTGTGGCTGATGTGTTCGACTGATGGGACTGGGAAGTGCTGTACCATCCACCATACTCCCCAGACTTAAGCCCTTGTGACTTCGACTTNTGAGATCGATGCCATACGATTCGTGAGCTGGCCTGAGAGACAAGATTAGCGAACAAGACTGTGCTTCACTTTCTGAGAAAAATTGCATCATGATGGGTTCCGCATGATTTGATGGAAATGCAGAAATGGCTACGATACGACGCTGCTCGTAACCACTTGGAGTGCTATGAGCGCGAAGGAGAGGCTTTCTTACCCCATATCATTATGCTGCATGAGGCATGGGCCAAATCGTATGGGCCACAAATGAAACGCCAATCGAATGAATGGCATCATTATGGGTCACCACGAAATTCAAAAGTTCATCAGAACCCCAGCAAAGCGAAAGTTATGGCGATTCTCGTGTACGACTGTGATGGTGTTATCCTAACACATACCATTCCCCAACAGCAGACCATCAATGCACAGTATTACTGTTCATTTTTGGAACACAACCTGCGACCAGCTTTGAGAAAGAAACGGTGACACTTTCTGCAGAACCCACCCATCATTTTGCAGGACAATGATCAGCCACATGCAGCACAAGCTGTGGCTGATGTGTTCGACTGATGGGACTGGGAAGTGCTGTACCATCCACCATACTCCCCAGACTTAAGCCCTTGTGACTTCGACTTGATTCCTAAGAAGAAGGAACCACTTCATGGCATTTGCTTCAGAACTGTTCCAGAGATTCTTCAGGCAGTAGACTGCTCCATTTGAATTATCAACACAACAGGCACTGCTAAAGGTATCCTATGACTTCCACATCGCTGGCAATAGGTTGTACACAATGATGGTGACTACACTGAAGGACAGTAAAACTTCGAAACATGCATCTATTCTGTATCACTTGTAAATAAATAGTTGCCACTATTAAAGTTCCAACCCTCGTAATTACAGACTCAGACAGGAAACTGTTGCTTACATGAAGAAGAGTGTTTGAGTAAACAAACTTACAGTGTTTTTTAAGTTTGTTAAGTTTACTTAAAAACACGAATCTCGAACACCAAATTTCAACAAAAATATGTGGAAAAGTTTATGGGATATACAGAAAATTCCATTTATGGTCTTACACAAAGGCTTTATTATGGATCAATATGGCTAAACACCAGAACTGCCCAAAACTTTTAATGGATGTTACCACATTAAATTTCAATAATTATTGAGTACATAAAATATCCATTTATAATCTTCTGTAAACTTTATTTCATAGTGGATCAATACAGCTCAAAATCAGAGTTGTCACACAACTTTAGTAGTAGTCTTCCGCATCAAATTTCAATAATATCTGTGAAATGGTTTCTGGGATATGAAGAAAGGTCCGTTTATGACCTTGTGTAAACCATGCTTTAATAAGGATCAGTGTGACTGAAAACTGGAACTATCTGATATCTTTCAGCAAACATAAAGCGAATAACGAAGATAATCTTTCAGCAAAGTCTCCCATATTAAATATCAATAAAATCTAATATTTTAGGCACTGATACTAGGTGACAGACAAATGGAATAGACACACACGTCCTCCAGACAAGGTGTCCTCTTCTACTCTGTAAAGAATGTTTAATATTGTATGGTTACACAGGAGATGATGAGTAAAATGGAGGAGCGAAGGAAATGGAAGAATGTCAACAATGAAGAAGGCAGGAGGAAATACAGGAGACTGAGGAATGAATTGAAAAGAGCCATGGACAGGGCCAAAAAGGAATATCTTGAGAAGATATGTAATGAGATTATGGAATTTCAAAGAACAGGCCGTTATGATTTGATGTACATGAAGACAAAAGAACTAGGATGGAAAGAGAATCATGGGATTCAAAATGTTGGCATCGAAGACTCCCAG